ATTTGGCATTTTCGTGTTTACATAATATATTTATTATTGCAATAGCTTTTTTTATCTGACCTATTTGAAAATGAAACTTTGTGCACTGTATAGGGTCGAGATGATCTTGTATATCAGAAGGTATATATGACAACATACACATATGGTTATAGTCACATTTTCGGATTATGATTAATATTAACTGCATGTGCCCGTGCCTGAACGTTAAGTCCATAATGTGCATTACTTAAATTTAAGGTTACTAACCGGGCGGTTGTTCACTAATAGACATTGCCAGCTGGATCCTGTTTTATTGTTAGGATTTCATGCCATGTTATTAAATAGTTCGTTAGGTATTGTTTGGGATTGTTGAAATGTTTCAGTATGGAAATGGAGTTCATGCCATGCTGTTTGTGACTTCACCGATCTATTTAAACAGTATCTTAATGAATCAGTAGAATGAACTATGTTTTTGGGTTCTAGTATATAACTAAACTAGATAAATGAACAATATTAAACTAGTGTTATGAAAAAAGTGAGAAAATAAGCGAGAAGAAAAGAAAACCGGAAACTCCCTCTGAAGGTGATAAAACACATACATCATGTTTTACTCTGAACGATAAGCAAAACACTTTTTGTGTCTCTATTCCAGCCTCTGACTGATATTTAAACAGATGTCGGCTGGTGTAGCCAGCAACACTGTCAAAATATCCACCAGAGGCTGGAATAGAGGCACATGTTTCGGACTATAATTAAATGTTCACCATTCAAGACTATGTTAAGATTATCAAGCACCATAGAAATATAAATATTAACCATAAATTTTACATCTAAAGTAGCTTCGATACTGCTTGACCTAGCTGAGAGTATATTTCGTATAAACTGGCCTTAAGATTGTTTCAACATACACTTGTTTCCTGAATTGTTTCCGCGTTTTGTAAATTAGTTTTGAGACTTATCCATATACTCAGTGAATAAAAACCAATGTTTAAGTCCTAACGGTTTATCAATGTCAAGGTTTAAGTGGCAATTAAATGAAAATAGATAACAATTAAATGAATCTGACGTGGACTGATTATGCACATATCATGGCTTTGGTTAATTAATGCAACCCGTTATCGGGGCAATGTCTATCTAGCCTTGAGATCTGTTGACCTTGAAAGTGTTTTCTGCGCACCCTAGTGGCTCTATAAGTAAACAGTTATATATATTACCTACTGTGAATTGAACAGGATATTGAAATTTTAATCACGTTTTTATGGTGATGATATATTTGAATTGACATCCTTATTCCTCCTTCTTTATGGTGTGAATTGACATTGAAAAATTTTCTTGATGTGATCTTTAAGCAGAAATTGAGAAAGTAAGTCGAAAAGGTAAGATTGTGGATCTTAAAACTGTTGGCAAGTAGATATTGGTGTTCTTACAAAAATTAGGGTGGAGCAAGGTTCGACTACCTTTTTAAAAATGGTTAATTTGACATTAATGGATTTATAATTGCAGTAGTAGAAATTGGTTTTAAGAAAATATTGAAAATTTAGTTTGATAGCCTAGGTAAAGCGAACAACTGAAACGTGATGTAATCTTCAATTCATATGATGAAAGGGAAATATAGAACACGAGGTACATTGAAAGTGGTGGTATGCACCGATATACTTGATATATTTTGTAAAATATCTAATAGTATAAAAGCAGAGTTAAAACTGAATGTTATGTTAATAAATTTCTCAAAGTTTTTAAAAAGTATGACAACGATATTTCATAAAACAATGATCTCTCCCTGTATTGACATTAATGTAATGTAATAAAACATTATTGTGTGATCATAAGGAGACAGGATTTAGTCATGATTCCTGTGTTTTTATGAAACTTTGGTACACACACCTCTCCTTTAATATCGGGTCCAAACAACGCCCATCATTCGTAATACTTCCTCGATAAGACACGTATTCAGGATACGATGCCGCTTTAATAGAATTTCCATTAATCTTTCTGAGTAACTTCGTTGTTCTATAATGATTTTTTTTTCATGATAAATAGTTTCGTTTTGCATTAATTGTATTTCTTCTTTTGTTCGTTTACATGAAAGGAATAAGAATAGTAACAGCAATTAAAACAACAATGGTTGATTACTTGTATAATGTTAGGTAAATATGATTACAAATGGAGCTTGTGTAATTGACATAACATATCAACAAATTTGAATGTTCCCTTCATTATTTTATACTTTAACATATACTAATCTACTCCATCATTATCTGGAGCCGCGGTGGCTCAGTGAGTTAGACGCTTGGCCACTAACCTGAAGGTCCAGGGTTCAATCCCGGCATAGGTCGAGATAATACCTTCGAATTTTTCAACCCGGTTTCCCCTATCAGTGATGCAGGTATGAGGGGCTGACATGGAAAAAGCGTCTAGTCGTTCGGATGGGACAATAAACCGAGGCCCCGTGTGCTACAGGCTGTGCGCGTTAAAGATCCCTCGACAGTTGAAAATCGAAAAAGAGCAGGCTAATGCCGCTGTCCTGGCAAACTTTCCCTCATCGCACCCTGCATGGCGTTGCCCGTCTTCATTAGCCCACATGGTGCAAAAAAGTAGGACGTAAAACTCCATTCATTTCATTTCATTTCCACCATTATCTCATATAATTCCTTATTATATAATCTACCAATCTAAATAAAATGCAAATCTGAATGTTTCTTTTCGTGCAGTTGACTACACTTGCATTAGCCTGTAGGAAAAAAAAAACACGACATGAAATATGTAGATCTGCATGTTCATTAGCTCGACCCTATTCGAACGTTAGGTTATGCCTGAGGAAAGAACAGCTTTCTAAATTAGGATTGTCTTTTGGGTTTGATGTAAGTAACCATTATTTGTAAATTCCTTAAAGATATCCTTCTGAAACACAGTATAGCACTATGCTTCTGGGTATATCCTCTGAAAATTCTTTTCAGAGAGTCCGAATAACTAATAATGTAACATATTTGTTCATCCATTCATTCATAGGTTATTTAGAGGCATTGACTTATTTTAAGTCTATTTTGATTTATTTTTTCGTTGCAACTGCCCTTAAATTACCTCAAGACAAAAAATTTTCTTCATTACCTTTATAGTCTGAATACCATCGTACCATCGCCATTGCTTCTATATTGGTATACAATATACACGTGTTTAGAATAATACACGAATAAACCTGGTATACACATGCGTAGGTTGTGTTTCGTAACAAATGGAATCGTAGTGATATTTTGGAAGACTATCCCGATGGTTATAATAAGCTGTAATATTCTAAAGGAGGGGTAGTTGACCCGGATAAACCTACGTATTACTGTTCTTCTTATATTGAACTGGCCAGACAACACTGAATCTTGCCAGCAACACTTTGGTTTGTCAGTCTCTTTTGACGTTATCCAGAATGCATTCCCTCGTTTAATTTCTACCTCATTTATCTTATGGATGCCGTCTTCCTTGGCCCACACGGTGTAGAAAAGTAGGACGTAAAACCCCATTCATTTCATTTATAACTGATGAATTGAAATTTGGATGGGTTGGCTACATTTCAGTTTTCTTCTTTTGATGTACATGTACACGAGTAACCTTCCTCTCCTTATAGTAGTGTCGAGTAATTATGTAAATAAGGAAAAGGGATTATCATACGGTTATTGTCGCCTTTCCTAATATCGGATTAGAATAGATATGTTATGCAAGATTTGAACCATATAAAGGTCACTGTGACAATATTGTGCAGGTAGTACTCACGTGGTCCAAGTGGCAAAAACTAGATTTGAACTATATGATGGTCACCGCAACAATATGGCACAGCTGGTGCCCCCGTTGGGGCTTGCCATGTATTTCCATATTTTGTATTTGCAACTTTTACTCTTGTCATTGACATTGATTATATCTTTTAATGGTTTACATTTTTCTAAAACGTAATTATAATCATTTGGTTACTTTCCTAACTTCAATTTGATAAGATTTTCATCGTATTTAACTGAGCGTATTGACATTCAATTTGATTTGATATTTTATCTCATTTCACTAACGTAATGACATTTCAATAACCTAGGTTTCCACGGTTGAATAACTTTCTAAGTGTTTAAGCATGTATAGGTTTAATTGACGTTAAAAAATGCGAGTATATGTAGGTCAATGCATGGACGTGCATAAAGCTCATTGATCGTTAATAGAAATTGACATTTAAAGCATGTAGTTATTTGTTCGATGTACTGTATGATTTGTAAAGGGTGAAAAGTTGTTTTCTTCAGATTTATGAATACGTTATTCAAGCAAATTTTTTCAATTCAGACGTATATCAAATGATTTTCTACCTCAGTGATTGTAACGAATTGAAAAACCACCATTATAAAATAGGGTTGTTTAATGTGATAGAAGAAGCTTTTTTGTATCAGTGACTCGACAAAACGTCTGTTTTTCGGGGTTTTTTCCTATTTGTGAAGTTGGCTTTGGCTTGTATACTTTACTTCAAAAGAAAACTTGATACGATTTAGTAATATATAGGGGTGAGTACAGTCAAACTTGTATTTAGCGGTCAAATATAGTTGTTTACTACAGTTCCTGGTTATTGAAGGAATCTATTATTGGATGGTATTTCGTAATGAAGAGTATAATCTTATATCAGACTTGTGATGGAGGTTTGACATTATCGGTATTCCTCGACAGTTTCCGTTAAACTGAATGTTGCAGAGCGACAGCGAAACATTCGTGGTACATCGTTTGCTGTTTGGCGAGGAATCAAATACGTTTTACTTTCTCTGGAAGATAGTAGCGTCATGCAGTAACAATTTGACGATGAATTGGTGACAATTTCAATGTACGATTGTGTAAGAATTGTCCTTTTTGATCGTAGAATTATGTAAAGGGATATTTCAACAACAGACCGTGTGTATTATGGTATAAACTGGACAAAGGCTGACCTTTATGTTATTTCACTTGGAAAAAACAAACGAAGGTTACCTACAAAACAATGACAATGAAAAACATTCTATTTCTATAAAATGTCTATTAATTGGGGTATCCGAGGTCTGTTACAGGTCGCTGGATTAAGACATTACTTATATAGGTTAACCTTTAACCTTTAATCTGACCAGTGACCTCTGAACCCTGACTGACTGTTCCTATCAATATGTTATCTGGTTACGTATTGTAAATGATATGGTCAATGTTGTTACTGTGATTGTGCTAAGAGTACTAATTGGTGAATATCATCATACGATAAGGAATAAAGGGCCATTATAAGGTTCATTACTTCTATGTTTTGAAACATTCTAGTTATAGAGCATTGAGGGGAAGTGGGTATTTCTAGCATTTAAAGGGCCAGGCTAAGACTGTTGGAGTTATTTCACGTTCGAGTATCGGATATATCAGGTACATGTATATCCTTAGGGATTAGGAATTATTTTGGATTATTATTAGGACCCAATATCTCTTGACCACAACAACTTGGCAGAGGTTTTGAAAGGAAAGGTAAGGTTAATTTTTGTTGGTGTTTTTTTTATAATGTCTGGCACAATTCTATTCCCACTTCGGAATATTTGATACGATTTTTTTTTGACCGAAGGCCTTTTAACCACAACAATCGATTAAAGTGATTAGGGTACGAACAACTGAAAAACAGATAGTTGGAAACGATATCTGAAAAAATGATTGTTGTAACAACTTGCTAGTTGAACACGAAATTACATTTGAGCTCACCCCGTGGGCTGATAAATCAAGAAGGTCTAAATAGCAGGAAGCAAGTTTCATTAGAACTGTTTATTGATTTTGTCTACTTATTGAGGATTTCTCATTAATTTCTCTTCTAGTGTCGATCAGCCATTCTCGGTGGATTACTCGTCACGTAGACAGTTCTAGATCTTAATAACATCAGCTTGGTAATACCTTCTTCAGAACTTGTCGATAGTCAGACAGTCAGATCTATCCAATTACGAAAGAGGATATGGAGTGTCTATGTATGAACATGCACTTAAAGAGATTCTAAAGAGGTTTTCTAGCCTGTCTGTATGTATCAGGAACTCTTCTGTCCTTTTCTGTGATCATCTAATTTGCGATAATGATCTGCAAGTATTCGACCAAGACAATTATTAGTAACATTAAGCTTACCATGTGAAAGTTTCCTATCCTATTTAAGAAAACTCATACGTATCACTAAAAATTCTCTCTAAAGAGCGATAAACTGAAACAGTCGCTTCTTTGTTGTGTTAATTATATTGTCTGTTCGAAAGGTCCCTAAGTGGTGGGCCATGATATCTCTTAGAACCCATCCTTCTTTAAAGTATCCAACTGGATTCCTTTAGGATGAGAAAAACATCGTTTCATTGTTTTCAAGGTAAAATACTTAACATTACCTCGTTAATCAAGTCTTTCTCAAGATTAAAAGCTTATTTCCCACAGTTTTTTAACATTAATATCTAAACCGTGTCTGTTAGTGGATCATACAGAGCAGTAGAACGTAAAACTCTTTTCGTTCATATTGGATATATAGTCTAACAAGTGTATACTTTAACTTTCCATTATTTTGAAAAAAGGAATCCATAAGTTTCAAACCATATGAAGTACGGAAACTACTGTAACAATCCGTATTCGGGCTGTATGTCATTTAAATTTTGTCAGGTGGATTCAGAAATTTTCATAATTTTAATTAACTTTCATTTCTTCCGACTTATGGATGTTTTATTGGTCTGTTGGAATCAGTAGAACTGATCTGACATGCGTATAGATCATGTTATTTACGTCACAGATCTTCTAAATCAACTGCTAATTTTGAAATTGTTTCTATGGTAACGATGTAATAATGATATTCTGTTAATAATTGATGTAGGTTTAAAAATTTATCATGATTCTCGGGTCTAAGAGCATGGATTCTAGCTGGTCAGTAAAGTACGGTAGGTTGTTATTTGTGTCTTGGTAGAGTTATTCAAAAATAGGGAGAATTCGGGCGTAAAACTCCATTTCATTTCTATAGCAGTGTAGCCTAAATAAGGTTCAGATGAGTCAGGAGGCAAAAAATTGGATATAAATTCTCATAATCAAAAGTGGTATAAAACCGAGGGATGTAAGACTATAAATAGAATAGAAATACGAAATGTATAGAGTTGTTGATTAAGAAGAAGAGGGCGTCAGATAATGTATGTTCTATATCTTTTCTTACTCTCCTGACTTGTGTACTCTGAGTATTTTTTTCAGTTTTATGTGTTAGTACGCTATACATATACTAAATATATATAGTCAACGAGATCACGACAAAACCTTGTATTGAAATCGCGTTCCAGTGTAATACAGAACATTAAGATTTAAAACCCTAAACCATAAATATAAAGACGAGATGTATAGAGTTAATGGTTGATTAACAAGAAGAGGGGCTGGTATAAGGTTTTATAAGAGATAATAGCTTCTCTTATAGAAGTACTGGCCTAGGTCACAAGTAGGGACTGTGGATTCCAGCATCGGAATACATCAATTTGATAGGAAATTACCTACTTGTGGGAGTTAGATAATTAGGGGCTGATAGGGCCTTTAAGTTAGATAATTCATGCTCCACATATCATATACAGAATATATATATATATAGAAATAATAATGCACTCAAATTCAATAATAGTCAAAAAATGTATAAGAATTATATCTATATGTTTGTAGCTCTATGTTTACTGACTATAATTGAATACTCATCAGCCATATGAGTACTTTTTTCAGTTTTATACAAGTCCTACGTATATTGAATATATATAATTGAATACTACTAATCCATGTGGAACAGACACACTTCAGTTCGGTCTTTATCATTTAAATAATAATCATCATGTCTTACACACTTCAGCAGACACGAACTGAGACGTATTGAGAGTAAACCAGACAAATATACAGGTTCCTCAGACTTGATATATGGATGTGATATCGTCACAGTTAGGGTCAGACATCTAATTATTTTCTTTATTATGAGAGTTAAACCAGATCCATTTTAGATAGCAAGTTTTTGAGAATTTTTAATTAGAAATTTATATGTTGTATGCTCGTTAAAACGTTACTTGAACCACGTCAGTTACCAAGTTCTTTTAACAACGGTACGATCGTTATTCACATCTAACTAGAGGATCATTATCATCGTACCGTTGCTAGATGATCAGTATCATCGAACCGTTGCTAGATGATCATTATCATCGTACCGTTGCTAGATGATCATTATCATCGAACCGTTGCTAGATGATCAGTATCATCGAACCGTTGCTAGATGATCAGTATCATCGAACCGTTGCTAGATGATCATTATCATCGTACCGTTGCTAGATGATCATTATCATCGAACCGTTGCTAGATGATCATTATCATCGTACCGTTGCTAGATGATCATTATCATCGAACCGTTGCTAGATGATCATTATCATCGGACATGAGAAAAGGGGTCGAAAGATATGTCGAATTTTATTTCGTATTGTTTCAGTATTGTTTTTGTGGTGTATTGGATGATTGAAGAAAGATCTGCTTTTATTGCTTATTAATGTTTCGTTTTTCTTTCTCTTTTCAGATTTTCCAATGCTGGATATGGTACGAACCCAGGCTTGTCGCACCGACAGAAGAATGCCTGTAGACTTCACATCTTATCTGCTGGCTGCCAGTCCCCCCACCCCATCAACAGGATTTGAACTTCTCAGTTACGCTTTTAACAAATCCTCTCCCTTCACAAATGATCGGCTGTTTGATTTGAATCACAACACCAACAGTAACAATAACGCTAACCTGAACGCTAGGAGAAATGGACCTCTTAAGTCAATTATTATCAAATCAGACAATGATAGCAGTGAAAACAGTGAGACGTCAGAGGAGTCCGAAACGTCCTCGACCCCTATCTCTCCCGTATCACCTGGGCGTGTTCGTAAACAAGTATCGTTCGCAGATCATAAAGGCATGGCGTTGGCGCAAGTGCGATTTCTTACAGAACCGTCAGATATGCCACCAAGGTTAAACCCGCAGTTGTTGGTGTCGTTAACGCATGGTGCGACCGCAGGTGTTACGGACGATCCGCCCTTGAAGTTATGTTTCACGCAGCCAGCCTCAGACTATTTGGAGTTCCGTGAAAGATTGGAAAAGGAATGTGTCTCGCTTGAAAATGTCATTCTGAAAAACTATTCAGTCGCCTTGTCAGATACAGTTTAGATAGTTGGCAAACGTTTGTGGATGTTCCAGCCATCTACGTTCCGGGACCGGGTGAGTCGACTGAACGAAGAAACACTTACGATACGTTCTCGTTTGAATTTGATGTCCCTACGAACTTTGGTCTTCATGAAAAAGTGGAATTTGCAGTTGGCTACGAAGCTAACCTTTCTCAGTATTGGGACAATAATCGCGGTTTGAACTACCAGATAGTGTCCTCCGATTATAAAGATAAAACAGTTCAGCCATCTTTCGAATCCTCTAGAACGGAAGTGACACCATGGACTCAATATGCTTGTTGGAATAATGTGGACACCTCTACTCCTTATTGGTGAAGAATGAACTCAACTGTGTTACAGGTGCCCGACCTGCTACTATATAGTTGTGGACGAACCTATTTGATTCTAGGGGTCCCATATTAAAATCGTTTCGCCAGTTTAAGCTTCTCTGTGTGATAAAAACTGCAGTATTACCAACATGTTAATTTAGAAAAATAGGTCATTATGTTTTTGTTCGAAGTTAATTGCGTGACTTATTTCGAATATATGTCCATCATTGTCGCTTTCAGAATTGATTTATTCAAAAAAAACTACGTAGCTGTCGTAGTGAAAATCTTGTTGAACAACTTAAATAAAATCGTTGAATTGAAAAAGAAGTTAAGAGAATTAACATTGACCTAAATTACAGTGTCAAGATCAATGGAAGCTGACCTCCTAAAAACTGTGTCAAGGCCAAGTGTAAATGACGATCCGATACCGTTTCAGTTTTATTTGGACTTACAACAAACTCTGTGAAACCATTTATTAATGATCAACTTAGATAAGGTCAAGGTCATTCGGAGCTGACCTACAAAAACCAAATGTCAAGGCCGTTAGAACTGCGTCAAGGTTATAAGCAACTGACCTACTGAACAATTGTCAAGGCCATAAAAGTGTCCGGATCATTTTGAGTAATAATACTAAGTTTACCTAATGAGTAACTGTCAATTTGAATTGGCCTAAATGTTATGTCAAAAATGATTTGAGCGGATTTACAAGGTTACTGTTCAGTTGACCAATTTTTCGTGACATTTAGAAACTGTGTCAAGGTCATTTATTAACGTTTTTTCTGATCTGTTTTTGAATTTCTTGGAATGAAATGTGAACATGTGATATAATATTAAGAGATTTTTTACAATTCTCTTGCCAAAGGGAGACAAGTTAATAGGGAATAACCCTTAATGTGATTACAAGGGACAGAACTCTTACTGGTATATTTTCTGATTAAGAAAGTGATTACTATACGAGATTGTATTTGTTATTTCTGTGATATATTGTATTGTCTATATTATATTTGGTTTTGGTCACATTGGTAGCTCGCCTACTGAACATGGTTCATGCTTTTCAATCAATAGCCTTTCGAACTAGTTTTTTTTATCCAGTAGCAATATAGCTGTAAGGATACATAAGGCCAAGTATAATATCTTGTAAATAGATGAACTTGATTTCTTCACATTTTCCACTTTATTCTATTTTGTGAAGGTTACAAGTGATTAAGACGATATATAACACCAGACAAAAATTATGGTATAAAACAACTTCCTTAATACAGTCATGGGTATATAACGTTTCAACACATCTGATGACGAAACGTGTATATTGTGTTGAAACGTTATGTACCCATGTATTAAAGAAGTGTGTTTTATCCCATAATTATTGTCTTGTGTTTTATATGTGCTCCTCGCTTCTTAATGTCGTTCAAATCTTATGATTAAGACGAGCCAAAGTTTTAATGACTAAAAGTGCGATCTATGTTCTTATGACTTCAGTTCATTTTGAGTTTACTTAAATAACTTACTTTTGAAAGTAGGTCAGAAATCCTTACCTAATATGGCCTTAATTATCCAAAGATGGTCGCCATTTTGTATTTTTTATCCAATCCGAACAATGTTTAGATTATTAGCATAATATTTTTCTATTTGTATTTCGATTATTTTTGTAACTTGTTACCAAAGACTGTTTCTATCTCGTTATCGAATTCCAATTTCACTGATTTTACCACCATTTTTGTAACGGATGTCTTTTTTGAAAGTCTACCTACCCCTCCGAACAATCAAGTCTGGTTACGGGCCTGTACTGGTATCTCAGATTGAAATGCTGTTCAAATTGTTTCGTTTTTTTTTATGTGGGTCGCTACGTCTATGTTCATGCATTAACCCACAGAAAACGCGAAACGAAACATCCTGATCTACATTTTAATCAGCTTATGGTATCGAAGTTTGAACTTTTCTCGAAATAAAATACTTCCAGATAAAGGCTCTACATATATTATATGGAGGCAATTATTCTAATTTATTATTCTTTCCCCACGTAATATTTCTAGTGTAATTGAAATTTCTCTTTCAGTTAGGCTACACGTCGTTTTATGGTTATTCTTAGTTTATCGTCTGCAGTCAAAACTTCTAACATCTATTGATTTTGGCTCGTAATCAACCTTCTGAAACCAAGTACAGCCTCACATTTGGATGTTATTTGACTATTTCAATGATCGTGTGGTGTTTGTTTGCTCTAAAGATTACAGACTGTACTTGTTTAGTATTTGGCTGAGCTACAAGTCATGTCGTATACACCAAAAACTTCAGAAAATTTTTCTCCGGGGTTAGTAACTATGTTGTCACTTCCGGCATTTTTCTTTACCGGAAGTCGATGTACATATCATTTGAAAATAGCCAGCATACATGTGGCGTAGTGTTACTGTGACCCTCAACTTTTTAGAGAATTTGAAAAATAAGAATCTTGTTTTAGATAAATGATCACGGTTCAAATCTAAATAAAGCCGTTATGATTGCTGACTTTAAACGTTTCATATGTTGGATGTCCTTTATTGGCCTATATAGTAATGTAGCCTTGGCTATGAGATCACGATTGGATCTTGATAAAACGGATTAGTATTTCTTTTTTAATTAATGAATTAATGCTTTTTTCATATGCAGTGGCTTTTCATATACAGGGCAGACCCAATATTATTTTTTATTTTCTATAGTATATGTTTATTACAAGGCAGCGCATGTTCTTGGTCTGACAATTTCTCAGAAACATGGCTTGTATAGACTACGCTTAACTTAAATTTTAATTGAACCTGGCACCTATAGTAATGCCAAGTCAACACTATACGTCTGTGTTTTTGTTTTGTAGCTTTTCAAAATGTTATGTATTAATTTCGAGGCTATTTTGAAATATTGCCAATATTTTGAAAACTTCAAACTTGTTGTTCAAAGCTTTGAAAACTGGATACAAGTAAATCCTGACACAGTACACTTGACATTAGATAAACTTCAGAGGTGGGTCGTTGTAGTCATTTAAGCTAGATGCTATATGTATAGTTCATATTTAGTTTTTTGGCACCAAATACAACCGGAAGTAAACTTATCTAGCAAATCTAGGTTGCTATGCGTATTTTATACATTATTGAAATAATGAATGATTATTATACTGGTATCCTTGTAAATCTTGTGATAATTTTCCATAGAAAGTATTATAAATGTGTGCATTGTTAGTTATATTAACGTCATTTGACATTTGGTACAGGATTACGGGAAAGGTGTAGCCTAATAATTTATGATTGACCATGTGCAGTGCATTTGCCATTGGTGATAATTCTTCTTTCTCTACTGCTGGACAGTGTTGAATATTGAAGCACTGTTGCTATGACGTCAGATGGTGCTGGTATGACGTGGCAGATAATGCTGTTTTGACGTCATGTTGGAATGACCTAACGGAAGTTAGTGCTGTTATGACGAGGCCGTTCAGGATGCTATTATACGAAGTGGTATTTTTGAGTGGAGAAATAAGTTTTTTTGTGAGAGTTGTAAATGATATTTCAGATTGTCTATATTTAAATTAATTGTAATAATATATTATATCATGTCCAATTTGTTGTATCATTTTGGATGTTTGTATGGTTTATTATCAAATAAACATGTGTATGAAAAAAAAAAACTTTTTTTAAAAAAAGTTTTAAAAGCCCTGCCCCAACACCTTCATTGACGCAAGATTGACTTTGCGTGTGCATTCTGATTAAGAGTCAGTGTAAAGCCGCGAATAGACGAGGTACGTTGGATCATGCAATCGATCAAGGATCCCGAAAGTGGTAATAGAGAGAAAAATGATTGATACCTCTAATTTAAATATTTAAACGATATGAATGATTATGGAATGTTGAGAAGTTACATAAAATAGAAAAGACTCATCACCAACATTTAATACCATAGAATTTTCAGACAGATTTCTCAGACGAAGGTAATTCACCTTGAACCTTAGCCCACGTTCTTATACATCTCATATCGCACCCAATATCTCGATTGACTTTCTATCATTTTACCACTACTTGTTATTGCCAAATTTATGGCATTTCTTGTTAGTACAGTCGGCTATTGGAATGGTATTGGCTCGGTTCCATCTCGAAGATGATCAAATCAGAATGATTCATGTACTAATATAAGAATAATGATAGTTGCGGTTACTGGAGAAAGAATAATCTCGATTATTTAGTCACATATATATTAAAAGATCGAACCCAAAAATGTTAATATTGAAATTCAACAATCTCCATAAAATGTCACAAAACCAAATTCCATATAGCAGACAATCCTAAGTCAGATGATTGAAGTGTAGAAACCATTGGCAGCACTAGTATGGAAGGAGGGGCGGGGGTCAGAATGCACCAAAAACATTATTCATACGCCCTCCTTTGTTGGAGTCTGTCCCTTATTTGTGACCACACCACCCCCCCCCCCCCTCTCCCTCTCCCTCCCTCCTACACCTTCCACTCACACTTTATATGCTGCTTCTGCT